GTGGAAGCATTTAGTAACTGCTGCTGCTGTTCGCAGTTCCACCATGACCTGGGGTGGTAGTACCTGTTTAGGGTTCCAGCAGTGGGCAGATAGTGAACCCGCCAAGTAAAAATCAACAGTACATTTTTATAGCAAAATAACCAACAATGCAATACCAAAAAAGTATAAAAATACATTTTTATAGTAAAATAACCAGCAATACATTTCTAAATAAAAAGAAACAATTACCAAGAATACATTTTTGTAGTGAAATTTCCAAAAGTATTTGCTAACAATGTATTTTATGATCTACAATAAATAAATAATATATATATACACACACATACACCCTGAAATTATGAAATTACGTACAAAATATTTGTAGTTGAAGGCATAAATTCCGTACAAAATATTTAGATTTTGGCATTAAATAACCCATAGAGATTGATATGCTGCTAAAAAATAAAAGAACTGAAGTCAGGTTTAACATTTATTTTCAATGTTTTATAATAAACAAAATAAGCTAATGGTGAGTGAAATATAACGGAATTGATTTTAAGGAAAAAGAAATAAATTATGTAATGTTAAATTAAAATTCATTAAGTATGCCACGTATGCAAAACAAATAATGTAACGAGGATTTTTAATCGCATGTTGATTCTTTCTCTTCTAATGTCATTCTCAACTTTTTCCGCATTTTGTTTTGTTTTTGTTCTTGAAATTTTTTAAACGAAAGACAGTTTTTAACTGCGTGCGTTATTGCAACCGACATAGCTGAATGCTGGCTTTCTTTCCATAAAACTGACAATCTTTTCAATAGCTTTTTCAATTTCATTCTAGGTTTCATCACAGTCATGTATCGCATCGCTATTTTGTTGCAGATGTGTCTCGTTGTCATCCTTTCCTCTTATTCCCATCATCTTTTGAACCAATACAAGCCATTAGGGTGAAATAAGCATAGGCAATTATCCAAAGTAAATTTCCTGAAAAACAGAAATTTCAAATCAGTTACATATTACCCAAATTGTTCAAATATACACTTCAAAATCATATCCGGATATGCGGGATTCTGAATATGAGACACTCCGAACATGAGGGGTTCCGGATTTGAGGGATTCTACTGTATTCACTTTCCACATGTCATGTAAGTGTTTAAGATCCGAGATTTTGACTTTGAGAATTTAAATAGTTTTAGAATGCCTATCATTTAATTCATTTTGTTTATTATTAGTTGTTTCGATTTAATAAGAATAGCTTCTAAAAGTTGTAATCTTTGTTTACACCGTCCTGTGTATAATGAGAAACTACATTCTTATAGCAAACTGACCAACAATACATTTTATTGTAGAATTGCCAACAACATATTTTTATAGCAAACTGACAACAAACATATTTTTTATGACAAAATGACAAATCAATTAGTTTTCTTTTTGTATTTTAAAAATGTTTTCTGGGAAAGAATTATTGTTAATGGCGGGACAGTCAATGTTCTGCTTATAATTAAATGTCTTTTGATCTAAATTAAGATGCTATTTTCCAAATATAAACATTGATTTCAGTACGCGTGACTCTTCTGGAATTAATGATTGAATATCATACTGTTCTTTAATTTCTGTCTATATTTTTTAGATTTGAGATGAGGTATTGCAACTATTTACTAATTACATTGTTCGGATTATTGTGACTTGACCCAAAGGGTTGTAAGTTCAATAACCGACAAAAACAAAACTTGGAAAGTTGTGTTACTAAAAGGGAGATCACTGAAACTGAGATATCCAGAAAAGGCGTGGCGCTATAACAATCTACCCCAGTGAACGAAATAAAGGTTTCGGTTCGAAATTCCAACATATATCACCTGAAGAAGGCTGGAGCGTACAACGGCCGAAATGTCGTGAATATGACAACAATGAGGATAATAGTCTGAACAATGTAGATAGTGTAATTTGTTCGTTATTTAACTTTATCATGTATCAACTTCAGATTCCACTTGATGTAAAATAACAGGGTAGACTGAACTCTCTAGCTTTAGGTGGTAATCACTCTGAGAAGGAAAACTCTGAATTCCAATCCAGGTAACGGCAAAACGCTCTGCTATATTTTTGAAGATTGCATGACAATTCATATTATTAAAAAGACATTGCATGTCAATTCAGTCACAAAATGGGATTTTTTTTTTATGTAGCAAGAAATTTTGCTTAAAGTTGGCACAGGAGCAGATAGGCACGTCAAACAGAAATTCTCAAATGGTAGCTTGGTGACCTTAGATTATCAAGGTACAAAGTCAAAATTATTATCTTTTAATCACTTTGTCTCTTGTTCAATATCTCTAATTTTTCCTTCAAAACTATATAGCTGGCAATAACTTTTTCTTCAAAAATGTATTGCTGGCAAGTTGTTCCTCCAAATATACGCGGATGTAGTTCATCGTCATTCCCAGGAAATGGATGTAGTTTATCGTCTTACCCAGCAATAACGGAGCAGTATTAATATCCAGAGGCATGGGCAGTGGAATGATAAGTCTATCCCCTAGAATAAATAAAGGGTTCAGTTCAGAATTCCATGTAGGTTACCCTGAAAGATATACACCTGATGAAGATCGGGAGGCACAACAGCTGAAACATAACTACAATGAGGTTGATGCAATGTCATTATCAGCATTTTCAATTAAATCCTTCAGATTTTCAGTTGGTCCATCAGAATCTTTGTCGAACACTATCTAGTGTCAAAACGCAACACCGACTCTGTACAAACTTTTAATTGCATGAAATCGCCGGAATTCGATTTACTACCAGTTAAATAATAATTATTAAAATTCTAAGAAGATTAGATTGAATGGTTGGGAGAAGGATGCGGAAAAAGAAAACTAGTTAATAATTGTTTTAAACAAAATGAATTTAAGAACCGTTTCAAGGAAAACTGAACCCAAAAATAACTCTCCAAGACTCAGTGAAACCAAATTTTCCTCAACCTATTCACTTCTCCCTGATAAGAAGACATGATTAATGTGTTGTCCTGAGAAATTAAATTTGGGGTTTGTTTACATTAATAGTATCCGTTCACGACGCATCTACCTTTACAGAAAAGAGTGACCCAATTTCATTAAAAATAAGTGTGTGTGTGTGTGGGGGGGTCATGCAGTTTATGCCTAAATCCAAAACTCGGGGTTTGTTTATAAACTACTATGATTCTTACAGAAAGAGGATGACCGAAAATTTTTTAGAGAGTCATGTTTTGTAAACGATTCCCTAATATTAAAGGGATCGGAAGTGGAGAAATTAAATATATCAATGTGAAATTTTAGTGGGGGTATCTATATAAAGAAGGCCCCTGGGGCCCAACATACAAAGAGAATCGTATCCGGGATAGATCCGTCACCGATTTGCACCGGGTTGCGTGGGCAGCTGCAGTCTCACTAGAACACACGCTTTTCAGTGGTTGGAGTGAACACACAAACACAAGAGAAATAAGAGAGGCAAGCAAGGGGGGACAGGCAGTCTTGTTTCCACTAATTTATAGGAATTACTATTAGGTTTCTCAGTCACCGTCCAGCGAGGGGTAGAATTGGTTCTACTGTAGATATGACATTTCATTCACCAGTTTTTATATTCCTGTTGCTACTTATCAACAGCGTAATTCATTTTATTGAAGGAGTTCTTATTCCCGCCTTGATTCCCAATCTTGTTCCGGATGCAAGGACAAAAATTACCACGGCCATAGATAGGAATTACGCAATCTTGTCTGTGGTACACAATGTACATGTTGGTACACCACGGAACCTCACCGTCAATCCCAATATTGTAAATACTACAAGGAAACTGACAAAATATTGAAACCGTCAACATATTGCACCTTAAAGAAATATTTGCATCAGAACATAGAACACTTACAATAGATAATCTACAATATTATATATATATATATATATATAAAACATACGCTTATTCTGGAAGTATAAAATTATGTACAAAATATCTGTAGTTGAAATCATAAATTTATACGCAGTTGGAGGCATAAAATTCATATAAAATATTTATATTTCGGCATTAAATCCCCCATAGATTTGTTGATATTCCGTTAAACAAAATCAACCAAACCAAATGTCCACGGGATTCTTATCATCCTACATTGTTGATTCCAGTCTCTTCATCTGTGAAGAAATTGTCCTGCGTTCGCTATCATATAGGAGGGATTGATATAAAATAGCATTTCAGCATTTTTTTCTTTAACGAAATATTCCTGTTAATACTTTAGCCATAACAGAAGAAAGAACGATTCATTGATAATAATGGCAGCAATATTAATAATGGCGCGGTAAATCTACTTTCCATCATCAAAACTCGGGCAGAAAAGTGCAGATCATTAGCAAACGTCATTGCAGAAAGATGATTTGCAGACTTATGCCAAAAGGAACTTATTGAAACAATTCTCCACATTAAAAACAGTTTTTTTTTCTGTAAACATGTAACTTTTTTTTATTTTTTATCAGTTCACCTTTAGCAAGGTATATTAAGGGCCTACTGGGAGTAAAAGTGAACGAAAAGACATTAGAAGGAACCAGAACCCAATCTTAAATAGGAAACTAGAGATAAACCTCTACACCCTTCCAAAACACCGGGGGGGGGGGAGTGTGAACTGTTTTATCACCACACAATTCTTCATAGCATGCCACAAATTGATCACTTTTAGTTTGAGACGCCATGTTTAATTAAACTGTAAACAATAAAACAAGAGGTTCGGCAACCTTATGCAAGTTTGAAACCTTTTCTTTTATTTTTACGGTCTGTTTCAATTTAGGTTTAATGGATACATTTTTATGCCACAACCGCTACACTGACTTTTGTCAAACGATCATAGTCCATAAATTAACAATTTCCCTGAAAAGAAAATAATTAAAAAATTAATTAAATTAACTTTATTTTTCCATACTTTTTAAAGACTGAAGCGAATAGATTCTACAGGACTGAAATGGACCAAGATGTTATTGGCCACCAGTTTGTAGCAGAAGTTATAACTTGTTGCTGATGAGGAAAAGGAATAAATTTGAACACAAGGTGTACTCTCTCTCTCACTCGCCTCTCTCTCTCCTCCTCTCTCTCTCGCTCTCTCTCTCGCTCTCTCTCACCTCTCTCTCTCACACCCTCTCCTCTCTCTCTCTCTCACACCCTCCTCCACTCTCTCTCTCACACCTCTCCCCACTCTCTCTCTCTCACACCCTCCTCTCTCCTCTCTCTCTCACACCCTCTCCTCCTCTCTCTCTCACTCCCTCCTCTCTCACCCTCCACTCTCTCTCTCACACCCTCTCCCCTCTCTCTCTCTCCCTCTCTCTCACACCCTCTCTCACCCTCTCTCTCACCCCCTCTCACTCACACCCCTCTCCACTCTCACACTCTCCTCACTCACTCCCCTCTCTCCTCACCTCGCTCTCTCTCTCACTCTCTCTCTCACACTCTCTCTCTCACTCTCTCTCTCATTAACGTAATTCAAGAAGAGAGAAAATGTACCTGTGTGTGCCCAGATGTCTGAAAAAGGAAGAAAAAAATATAGGTGTTGCTGTTATGAATTGTGTATAATGCGCCACGTGACTGGCTGAAATAACGAACACAGCCTGCTGAGTAAAAAAAAAAAAAAAAACAAACTCCATTTTGGAACAAAAAGAGAGATCAGGTTTATTGTCCCATCCTGTTTCAAATACCCACAGAAAGCCAAAGAGGAAGTAACCTGTACAAAAGGGGGTTATTCTTTACTTGACTCTTATAAACCATCAGTTGAAACGGCAGCATGTATTTTAATCAACCTGAATATATGTATTTGATTGTTGCATAGGAATTTTTAATAATTTGTCTTATCTTCATTTCATGTTTGGTTTGTTTTACGGCATATCAACCTCAATGGGTCATTTAATGCCGATAACTTTTTTCCAGGTAATATTTTTGTTTTGTCAAACATCTATTTCTGGTAATATTTTTTCATCAAAAATGTATAGCTGGTAATATTTAAAAAAAATGTATACTGGTAATATTGTTTTTTTTTCAAAAACGTATTGCTGGTAAGTTTTTTTTTTCTTCAAAAATGTATTGCTGGTAATAATTTTTACAAAGTATTTCTGGTATTAAAACCTATTTTTACAATTTCAAAAAGCTTTTTACCTCAGTTTCGGAGTTAATTATTTGCCCATAGCTGGGACCCTAACAGGTGCTACCACCCTGGGTCAGGGTGGACCTGGGAACACTAGCAATTAAGAGGTGGTTCCACGCTCCTCAAATCCTCCTGATCAGAAGCCTTGCTGTTGGACGTAGTTTATCGTCATACCCAGGACGGTGATGTTTGGGATTGTCAAACATTCAAAATTCCTCAAAGTAACTAAGAAATTTGGTTCACTGTGTCATGCTAGATGATTATTTTCACTTGAAACTATCTTAGACATTTTGGTCTCTACCATTCATTGAATATTGTTGTCGTTTGGTGCTTCTGGTATGTATCTAGAGATTCTTGACAAAATTCAAAGAAACTACAATACTATCAATGTTGGCCTAGCAACTCAGCTTCAATCACTTTAGCCTTTCCTATGAATATTTTCATGGCAGTTGTTCTGATGAGCTTTCCCTGACTTCATGAATTTAAATGTAGTACTAGATTGGCAGGTGGGTCTCATTATTTTAATATTTAAATTAAGTGTAAACATAAATTTTATTTTAAGTTTCTTCTCTCGCACTTTTCGTCTGTCTGAACTCTCTTCCAGCTTCTTGCTTTTCTGTCAACTACAATCTTTAAAAATTTCAATGCAATATCAATTGTCATCTTCTGTCTCCTTGAATCCTGTTCTTTTTATCGTCAGTCTTCTCGGCAAAGATTTCTTAGTTTCTTTTCACTCCACTTAACCTCTTGTCTTAGTGGCTTTATCACCTTGCTCTGGGTGAAATGATTAATAACTGTCATCAATTGTAGAATTATTTCTTTCTTTTTTTTATTATTAGTTTATTATCTTATTAGTTTAATTTTTATTGGTTTCAAACTATAAAATGTGAGTTCTTTACTACTTTGGTACACTTTTAGTAGGTGTGTAATAATATTGAACATCAGACAGCCAGAGATAAGTGTAGGCATATAAATGTGGGATATATATATATATATATATATATATATATATATAACTAATATAGTTGTAAGTACAAACGGTTAGTAACTTAATTCCTACTGCTTCATCGACCGTGTTAGTGAGATTTCTTTATTTTCATCACAGGTGTAAATTCCTCTCTATGAAATGAGGCATCCATTTACTTGCACCTGTTCAGGCCTAAAAATTCACTTTCTAGATTCGACATATAAAGCTATTTATAAAGATTTATGATTTTTCTCCTTAAAATGCACTGGTCTGTGTCTGTAGACATTGAAACCAACACCCGGAGGCGACAGTCTGTTTCCTGCTAAACGCTTTTTGAGTGTATGTGTGTTTTTATTCGACTTATTATATATACAGGTCAGTGATGAATTGTGGATAGTATATTATTCTAACTTTTATTTTGGTGGTCGTGGTTTATTAATTTGTTTATTATTTATTTGAATTAATTTATTTTACTTGTTTTTGTTTGTTTATTTTATTTATCCCTTTTCATTTATTTTTGTTCGTTTTCAATTTTTAAGTAACGTAGCAAAACTTTGTTTTCATGTCTGCATTTTGAGAGGAGTTCTGCTCATTTATTTAGTAGTTTGTTTTGGTCTGGGAACGTAATGATAGCTATTTTTTCTTCAGGCGGTGTTTTTGGATTGATTGTTGTAGGCTGATGTTCTTTTCCTTATTTTCCATTATATTTTTGGTGTGATTTGTTTTTTTTTTAATCTCGCAGATATGTTTAGAAAGCAGTGTGCTGTTTGCGTATTAACTAATTTTAAATATATTAAAGATTTGTAAATTATATATATATATGTTTGATAAAATACAGTTTTATGGTATGCTATATTTATGAGTTAAAGTGCTCGATAACAAGGATAGAGCGTATGTAAAAATATAAAAAATAGGGAACATCCAGCGGCGACTGAATGTTTATGCTTAAACACAATTGCCAGACCATCCATGATTGCGTTTAAGTATGGAACACTGTTGCCGTTGGATTGGACACTGACCTCAATGTCCACTCATATATATGGTGGACTCTCCTATCGTGAACGATAAATGAGGGTCAGTATTGGATGGTGCCTTTTGTTTTACACTTATGCATGCTAGCAGGGGCTATTGTGGAGAAAATCCGGTAAGGGAAAGTCATATTTCATTTGTGCTTTCTTAAGTGTGATACTAGCCCAGCCTTGCTGCGGGCGACAAAGCCACACTGACTGGTGAAATTTGTTAAAGTAGGATTTTGATGGCGTCTCTGCTTCAGAGCTTGTCGAAGCTGATCACGGTGCTTCAGTCTACTGTTTTCAAAACCCTTTAACTTAATGAAACATGTCTTACGCCTTTCGGTTTGATGCGCGGGCTTCACAGGTTTTCAGATCAAATTTGAGACGTTTCAAGTTGTCTTTCAATTTGTCTTTGTAGTGTAAGAGTGAACGTCCAACTGAACGCTTGGAGTTTGTCCAGACAGCACTTTTTTTTTTATTGAAGCCTATGCTCACCCATTCTCAACATGACTAGCCCGCCTAAATTGTATTTTTGCTAGAATGGTGTCAATGCCTGTGATGTTGTTACATTTCTTCAGTATTGCCCTATTCTTGAACATATCATACTATTTCATATCACATATGGCACAAAGACAGCGCATGTGAAAGGCTTGAAGTTGATTTATGTGCTTGTGGTACAGGTTCCACATATTCTTCAGATATATATATATATATATATATATATATATATATATATATATATATATATATATATATAAAGGATCAATGGATTTATATTTTAATCGGACATTTTTATTACGTCAAACGTTATTTTTTAGTAAACACTCATATTTGAAATAGATACTCAGTTATTATTTTAAACAGTGTGAATTACTTCTATTTGATTGTGCACTTGAAAAATCTTAAAGAAAATGTGTCCTCCGGTAGGGTTCGGGTCTGCGTTACCCTTTGTAGGAGAAACAAGTATTTGATCTGGCGTGCCTTAGATTGCTCTTCCACAGCACATTGTTTGTGTTTCAGACACGAAAATGAGCGGTGATGGGCTTTCATCTGAATGAGGAAAGGTGCTTTCCTTGGGCTGTTCACTCTCCGTGCCTGAGCAGAGTTTTTTAAATTCATTTTAGGATTTGGGGAAAGATTTATCTCTCCATTCTCATAGCTCGGTGTTAAATAGTTGACTGGGTTCTCTTGCCAATGTAGGAGAAAGTAAACTAAATTCAAAACAAGCCTGAAGTAGAATAGCTACTATCTTGCTTGCCTTAGGCATTATACTGCTGCTATGGCTGCAGTACATGTAGTGTTCCTATAACCCAAATGAGTTGGTGACATGACATACAGTCCACATTTAAATTGTATTACTTGCTGTCTATTAAACAAAATGGCCTGACATGGATGACACATTCAATGTAGAATTTATTTTAAATACGACAAATTGGTCTTTTAAAAATGTAATTAGGTAATTGTTTATATAATAAAATGGATTTAAAAAGAAAATTTGCCTTTTTAAAATATTTTACGTAATATATTTATTGTGCATTCAAGTTATATATATATATATATATATATATATATATATATATATATATATATAATGAATTAATTAATTAGACACTTAAAATCTCATAGATAATTTTATTTCATGAGGGCTCTAAAAACAGCAGCTCTCATTATTCAAGACCTACAAACAAATCACAAATGAAATGGAAAAAATACTCCAGATTAAAATCAAGAGATATTACTATCTTATTTAGAGAGTGGGGAAAAGACAGTGTATTGACCTATTTTGATATACTGACCTCAGATTTAACATTGTGTAATTAGTTCAGTGTGAATTGGAAACAATCCTGTCTGATTCTATCAAGGATCAAAATTCCAATGCTGAAATATTAATAATTTTTTCTCTGTCTTTTGACATAGAACACTCTCTGGATCTATATCCTACTGGAAATTCCATATGGATTATCATATTGTATCATTACTAACATATATATATATATATATATATGTAATGATGAGTCCCAAATATGACGAAACGGCCGTCCACTGCATTCTGTTGAGGATTCTTCTCGACTCGATGAATTATATATATATATATATATATATATATATATATATATATATATTTACCATTTTCATCCTCTACGACCGTTGCTCTCTGTTGGCTGTGATCTTAGTGAGAGATTTGAGAGTATTGTAGGCATTTTTTTTTTTTTGTTTTATTGCCGGTAAGCATATCCTTAATGGCTTTGCACATATTTTGTATCCACTCCTCTTTAGCTGCTCACATTTTTCTCCTCACGTCACTGTGCCCTTCCTGATATTGAGCATAGATTTGCGTACATATGTTTGTAAAAGTATT